CATGCAAGTAAGAATGGCAGTTGTAAACTGCCATTTTTTTGCAATTTACCACCATTTTTTACAATTTTTTTTAGTGGTTGTTGATATTGAGGTTGTCTTTGGCTGGAGATTGAAATGAACCCATCCATACAAAATGAAACTTGACAAGTAGCCTGAGCAGTATCTCTATCAGGATTTCAAATGGTATGCAGGATTTTTCTCCATCTTACTTGGGAAATTTACAAAAATTAATGAAACAAGAGTTGTAAATTGGTATCTCCTGAGCTCTATTTATAATAAGCTCCTAAGTTATTTGACATTTAGTGTGAATTATTATTAATTTTTAAAATAAATTATTATAAATAATTATTCTAAATAGCGTCAAAATATATCAAAATATATTATTTAAAACTCCAATGGAAATATTGTCTATTTACCCATTATATTTTTAATTGGCTCAACAACACAAAAAAATAAGGCTCCAACTGAAAAATTCAAAAAAATAAAATTATAATAATTTATAACACATTTTAATCTCATCAAAAATTTAGAAAAACCAAATCTACATAGAAGTACAAAAAAATGAAAACAGCTAAGTTGTGCAAGCACTAAGTGAAAGAGAAACTACATTAGGGGTAAATATAAATGTACGTTTATTTTTAGGTTTTATCCGTAATTCAATATTTCTTTTATTTATTTATTTATTTATTTTTGTTACAATAGAGCCAAGTTCAAAAGAAAAACTTAAGAGCAAGAATACTACTTTGTCAAAACAAATAGGTGCTCTCAACTCAACAGGATATAAGTTCATTTCTTTAATTCCAGATCAATAAAAATATTAGATTTGATAAGAAGATCTGTACAAAAATACCTCAAACAACTAATATGAACAATTTCAACCTTATCACTACAAGAGAAGAAGCCTCTTAATACTACCAATAGTAGGAATAAAGTCTACGCTATAGCCTCTTCGGCCATATATCGTTTTCACCAACGCCTTTGAATGTCTCTAAGATGACCCACTCAATACCTAGATTTCAAGCCAATTCTAAACCCACTTATATGTCTTACGCCTCCGCTAAAAAAATATTAGTAACACCTAAATTATAGGAAAATTCTCTAATGCAATCACCCTCATTTTCCTTCAATAAACCTCCCACAAATTGTCATTTTAGAATTTTTTTTGCAATACTCCACCTGTGTTCAACTTAACCCATTCTTCCTTGGGTCTCCAAATATCATGAGAAACTCTCCCTATTTCTCCTTGTCCATGTCCCTCCCGTTGGTGCTGATCAACTGGCAGAAAGACAACCACCAATCTATGTTCCTTACAGGGTCCAAAGGCCTTCGAAAAGCCCTCTTCAAAAATATTTTGGTCTCGAATTTCTAATAAGTCAATGACGTGACAGCCCACCTAATCATCCCCGTACCCCACACCACACGAAAAGATTGCACAGTGCCCCTACATGATGAGCTCCATCCAGCTCCTTATGAATGAAGAAGGCTGCCGGGGGGAATCAGTTTCCTTCAAATCTCAGCCGTCACTGGATAGTCTCTAATAGCATGAATTGCTGTTTCCATCACATGACCATGTTCCTGGCAACCGCAATCATAGTTACTGCACCTAACTCTTCTCACATTAGCGCCAAGCCTCCCATGCTGGGACAGCCAGATGATAACCCGCGCCCTCTTAAAAACCGGAATTCTTCGAATCTCAGACCAAATCTCATTGCCATCCCCTGGCCCGAGTCCCCTGAGAACTTTGCAGGCACTGTTGACACTGCAACGCCCAGGAATAGAATGCCATGGAGTTGCATTGTTGAGAAAGAAGGCTGTTTGAATTTTTTTCTTAATTATTTTGGCAACGGGTAATTTGTTTTTCGTAGAATTGATATTTATATGTAAATTTTCCAAGTGGATTATTTTTTATCTATTGAAAAATCTATAAATACCATATCAATGGAATGGAGGGAGAGAATTATTTATAAATTTTATTGAAATTTTCATTTTCATTTTTATTAAAGAAAATCTGAATTCTGAACATAGTATAACATAGTTGACTAGTTCGGAATGATCAATATTTAGTCAAATTCATACAATTTCAGAGATTTTTTCAAAAAAAAAATTTTAAGTTAAAACCATTATTGACTGACTTGAATTTTGTAAGCCGTAGAGGAGCCAACAAAGCACCACGTACGTATGGACCTTGTTGCTGGATTTGGAAATTAAGTAATTAGGTCCACCACCCAACCAAATTTCAAGTTTATTGAAAATTGTCACGGCCCCGCAACACTTAAAGGGTTTTCCTTTTTATAAATTTTTTTTGATTACTTACAAGAGTTTAATACAATATAATTAAATTTTTTAAAAATATAAAAATTAATAGAATCAAATTTTTAAAAAAACTAAACTAATATCTAATTTTTAAAATTTTTATTTCTTTCCTTGTCCAAACAGACCGCAGAAAAATGTTTTAAAAACTAATCAACACCAGCTTGACTTGCGTAAACCTATAGCAGGTGTATCATCAGTCTAATCTGAGATAATCTAGCGATAAATCCCACAAATTAATGTTTATGAGTTTAAATAATAGAAAAATTACAAAACCAGTGGCACTACCAAAAATAACAGGGGCGCCCACAGTCTTACCAAACAGGAAACCCGTGGAAAGTGACGCGGTACTCAGATTGCCAGCGACGAAACCCTCCCGGAAACGCCGAGTGATGGTCACTTCCACAGACTTCCGCGTGTTCGTTGGTCTATTAGAAAGAGATTAAAATTTTAAAAATAAAATAAAATATTTGCTTCCAGCGGTCCGATCGGTGTCAGTTCGGATTGAAACACGACGGACGGCTACCAGACGTGGTATGTTATCGACGGCTCACACGTTAGTTTCTCCATAAAATTGGTGTAACACATGTTGCGAATCGTCGGGGAGTGTTCCCTCCTCGGGGTTCCACTTGTCATCCCTTTTTAACTTTTATTTCTTAAAAAATGTATTTTATTATTTAATTAATTGAAGCAATAACCTGATTATTTGAGATTTTCACTATTGAAATAATTCTATTTTTTTAAAAAAAATTGCGCAGTAAAACGTCGAGGTATGGGAAGAAAAGACCTGATTCAAATTGCATCGTAAGTTGATGGGTTTACTTCCTAAAATCTATAATAATTAGTTCGCTGATTTGTAATTTATTATATTGAGTAATTACTTGATATGAAATAATTATACTCTTTACAATCATTTAGATAAATTACAATAGTTTACATGTTTTAAAAAGGAAATGTTCACAAGAAATAGTCTTTATATTAATTATATTTAATTATTTTACATATTTATAAAAACAGTAAACATGTTTATTTAAATTTTTAAGAGAATAACAGTAAGTAAACTCTCTTGGAATTTTGTCAGACCAGGTTCCTACTTTGCGTAGTTCGGATTGAGAGAGAACAACGAGATCGGAGGTATCTGCCTGAAAATAGTAAGTGTTTGTCGGATCCAAACTACGTGAAAGAGTCCCAACAAATGGAAGAAAATAGAAAGGCAAAATTTTTGTCACAATTTTTTATGATTTTCAATCAACACCCCCTCCCCCTCCCCCTTTTGTAACACTGTGTTGTGATATGAAATGAAAGGATAGAGTTTCTTTCATGAAAATCTTGTCTAAATGATTAATTGCAACAATTTGGAATTATAATATAATATTTTTCGTTTAGAGACATTAAAAGCAAATAATTTCCAGATTATCATGAGCTGGGTGTAAATTATAATTATAGTGCAAGAATGAAATAATGCTTGTGATCTCATAAAAACCAAGTTAGGAGGCACTTCAATTTCAACGAAAAAACTATATCAAATTGTGTGCATAAAAGCATAATCTAGTTTTTGCCCTCCAACACACCCAAAATGCCTTGCAAATCTGTTACTTAGTTGTTGATCAAATCGTTAACTTAATAAAAATGATTGGATGTTTGCATTTTTGTATTCGATCAATGGCATATGTTTTTCCTCGAAAATCTTAAGAAAAGATAATCAAATTGTTAAGCTAATAAAAGTTCGGTTCATGTTCCACCACATGACATTTCATTGGTTTTAATTATCTTTCATTATCTTCTGAACAAGACTTCATGGAAGGAAAGCAGATGAGAAAGAGAATGCATTCAGTTTTAATTTTCTAGGATAAGAGGTATTTGTTTTTATAAAAAAATTATATTGTTGCAATGTAAAATCAACGTTTTTAAATTAAATCAAATTTAACTAACTTAAAAAAAAAAAGAAACCGAAGTTTTTACTAAATTTTTCTAGAAATATATCAAATCATTCTAATTTCAGATTTGCCCAAGTCTCAATTTTTGGATACAATTTTCAAAATCCAAGTCAAGAAGAAGATGGAAAAAAAAAGAAAAAAGGGATGGATTCTTACCCCATAACCATTTATATACCCAATTCTCCGTTTTCTTCACCTATGTACACACCCCCACCCAAAAAAAAAAAAAAAAAATCCCTTCCCCTCTCTCTCTCTCTCTCTCTCTGTGAGAAAGAACAATGAGGATGAGCTGCAACGGGTGCAGGGTCCTCCGAAAAGGTGCAGTGACGACTGCAGCCTCAGACCTTGCCTCGAGTGGATCCTACCTCCCGAATCCCAGGCCAACGCCACTCTCTTCCTCGCCAAGTTCTACGGCCGAGCCGGCTCATTAACCTCTTAAATGCCGCCCCCCAACATCTCCGCCCAGGTTTTTTTCTCTCTCCCACCTCCCTCCCTCTCTCTCTCTCTCTCTTGATAGCTAAGCATGCATAACTATATATCTATCTAATTTTGTATATATGAATTGTTCTGAGCACTTTGTGTTGATTCTTTGTTTCTCCATCTCGGATAACTTCAGCTATTTTTAAGTCACTGCTATACGAGGCATGCGGGCGGATACTGAATCCCATATACGGGTCGGTCGGATTGCTGTGGTCTGGCAACTGGAGAAGCTGCCAGGCAGCCGTTGATGCTGTTCTCATAGGCTCTTCGATCATGCAAGTCCACACCGAAGGTGCTGATTTGGCGCCTCACCCCATTATGCCCCTCAAGGGCTGCGACATACGCCATCTAGGCAAGGGCTCGGGCGACCTCCACGGAGCCCGCATCCGGACCCGGTTCAAGCGCTCCGCGGGCGTGGCCATCTCCAGAGCCAGCTTGACTCGGTCCTTCGGTTCACAGACGAGCCAGCGTTGTTCTCTATTTCGGATGGGTTCAGGCAGAACAGAAAAACATTGCACCGAGCTACGACGAGTCGATGATCTCCGCAGAGGGCGTGAAGCCACGCTGGCGAATCGGGAAGAACCGAGCCGAGCAGAGGACAGAGAGGTCGGCTTGGAGCTCTCTCTCGGCTCAACCCTGTATCGCGGCCAGCGTTACCATGTTGTGGGAGACTTGATTGACGTATCCGATGTAGGTTCGGACGAATTTTGAGGAAGAAACAAGTTAGTTCAGCTGTGGTTTTTTTAATTTTATATTTGGTTTACTTTTATTCCATCTGATGTGTACCGGAGTATACTTGATCAGCATCAATCCATTTACAATAATACAGATATATATGAAGAGTATATTAAGATCATCGTCATGCACGAATAAAGAAACGGCTTAGGGTAGAAGGGGGCGATTTTAAGGATGTGTTCGACCTTGTAATTTGATTACAAGGTTGCCTATTTGGACTTTTGCGAAGAAGACAAAGCCAATGGAAAAAGGAATCTGAGTGTGTTTTGTAGTGTGTGTGAGAGAGAGAGAGAGAGCTGTAGAATGAAGGTGACTGAGGACGGAATGATGCAGGGGTACACGTGAAGGGCATGCGCATCAGGATCTTAGCCAGCTGCTCTTCATGCAACGAAGCTGACTAATTTGGTGTGTGTGGGTCCCGCAGTTGCTGAGTTGGATGCCGCCATGGAAAGCAATGGAAAAGTTGAAAGAGAGAATCGCTCCGAGGATGAAGGAGGGGCTCTCCATTTTCCCCTTTCTCTTTTTTTTCTTTTCAATTTATTTGAATTCTTCTTCTACATTTATACTATCAAATTAAATTTTAGTTCCTTTTCTTTTTAACTGTTCTAAATTATCGAGGTCATACTCACTTCATCTCCCAAATACTTTGGTGCATGGCCATGGCAGGCTCTTCCATGGTAGTACTGATCATTGTGGACGTACCATTGTACTGCTTTACCAAGTGAATTGAAAATCGGTCTCGAAGATTTGGATTTGGGAATATACCCTGATACCATTACCGTTAAACTAACGGAGAAAGGATATAATCGTCAGTTTATATTATTGAGAAAACTGGTTTCATAATTAGTTTATATATTGAAATTGAGTTTTAGATAAATGCCTCGTAATTGGTTGACAACATAGCAAGACTCCCTCTCTTCAAGGCAGCTCCTTTCGCCTGTTTTCCCCTCTCCGTTAACTCTTTTAATTGAAGATAAAGATTCATTGATTTACATGAATTGTTTGGATTATTTTAATAAATATCAAAACAATACAAAGAGGCCTTAAAAGCAATTGAAGTTTGACGCCTATATATTTATAGATAAGTGTGTATATTGAATTTAAAAATTTTAAAAATGAACGTTTCGTTTTCACCACAAGTTTAAGTAAAGTTATGTAAAACAAATTTAGAAAAAGTAAAATTTTAAAAAATAAATTTATATAAAATAATTTTTAAAAGTAAAATTATAAATAAAATATCGAATTCTTCGACTTTTTTTTATAATTTTTAAGTTACTACCCAAGTAGGTGTATCTAAACTCACCGTCCTTGTACTCCCCACGGAGGATATATAAAAACTCTTAATAGGGATATAATATCCCCATCAAATATTAACCTTGTGTTTGGTGGGAAAAAAATGAGAATTAAAATTGAAATTTCATAAAATTCAAATTTAAATTTGAAAAGAAAACAAATTTTGATATTTACAATTTCCAATTTAGGTTTGAAAAGAAATGCGATTTAGGTTAGAAATAAGGTTTTTACTAGACCATAGATTATCAGAAAATTGTTCCTATTATCTTATAAAAAAAATAAATTAACTTTACTATTTTTGAACAAAAAATTTTTATTTCAAAAATAAGAATAATAGAATTTATAATAGTTATAAAATTGTAGAATTTAAAAATATTTCACAAAGATTTAATTACTATCCTATAACAAGTATGAATAAATGGAGAAAAAAA